AGACGGAGCGTATGCCTTTATGAATCAATCCAGATCTAGGTCGGTATAGCAAAAACCAGAGGACAAAAAAGTCTCAGGTGGCTAGGTTTGCTCTGATAGAATAGATATCATCTGCAGTGGAGTGTGGTACTACCTGCCAGCGCGCCGTCTAAGGCCCTCTTTTTATCACGAACATAGCGCTTAAGCTTTGTGACATGCCGTAGCCATATAATTGTTCACAGTTATGGCACATCCAATTTCATGTTAGTCGAGTTTGTTTATATCAATGCAGTAAATTACGGGATAACCATATTAGTGGAAAACATTCTTATCAATAACAAAAAAGCATTTATACTGCTTGAAATAAAGGAATCCTTCGAGCATATTGTGTATGGGGATTTATTTGAGCTAAAAATCGGTCTAGCCTTTTCGTGCCAGAAGTAGGGCGCTATCGCAACATACTGGGGCATCCTCCAGGACTAAGCCTTGAAGGGGGCAGGAACTTCGAGGAAAACGAAATTGTTTACTCACCCAGGAGTCGCTCGTCTCTTGCCTAAGGCTTAGTCCCCTTTTTTACCAAATAAGGAAATGTCTTGCGCGATTTTAAGTGCGTTGCCACTACATGCAATCCTCATTTGTAATGCCTTAACATTTTTCGCAAATTTTATAGTAAGGGCTATTACATCCGCAGACCTTCGTCGCCACGCCCATATTTTAGTACGCGTGATTTATCTTCTAGGCTGCCGTTCACATGGCTACCATCGAAAACATGAATAAACGGCTGTGAGGAGAAAAACTGGTAAAAGCGATAATGATGGGGAAGACTTGGAATTACAGTCGAGGTCTCAGCACAAGAATCGGAAAGATCTACACGATAGACTCTCGAAGGAGATCGGATTCAGGCCAGCAGCCCATATTTTAATCAAAGAGAAGAACGCCTCTTTGATACCAGGGTGCTGAGGCTCTACCTTATATAAGGTTGGCCTTCCAGTAGTGACTCTCATTCAAAAGGAGCTGGTGCAGCTGCTGACTTGTAGCTGGCCTACATAGAGATCCGGATTGGGTTACGAGTGGTGAGTGGTCCACCTTGCTCCCTGTTCAAAGGAGGAATTCGACGACTAAGAACGAAGGTCAAAGGAAAGAGAAATTGCATAGTTGGGAGACAGGCGGACCTCCTGAGGGTGCTGACCGACGCGCAATTGGCAGCGAAAGATTTGGACCTGGCGATCTAGCATGGCTCACTCTTGGCGCGGTTGGCAGTCGGTTTAGGTACCCTAATGACAATCTAGCACTCGCTGAAGGTTACAGGCGGCAGCGTGATGCGAAAGGGCAAGGCAGGCGTCAATCTTTTTGGCGTTTTCGCCGTTTCAAATGAGTTTCTATCTACATTTGTCCACTGACCATTATTACCTTTTCTCCATGAGCTAACTTTTCGCCGAACTTTTGCCTTTGGATGTAATACTCTACAGCCGGAGCGGAGCGCGTTGTTGGCGGAAGATTTGTCATGAGCTGGTTCCATTTTCCGGGCTCGTGACATGGCAATCGCGAAACGTTTGGCATTTTAGCATCTTTCTGTGGTGGTTTCTCAAGAATGTCGCGTTACTAAGCAAACTTCCGATGCCAGACAGCGGCACATCGATCCCGCATTTCAGCTATACCAAGCACGCTGCCGCCCACTGTTACATTACAACAGCACCATTAACATATCTAGGCTATTAAATCGAAACCTCTGCGTATTGGCTTAATCAAAGAAAGTAAGAAGGATATAATGCCGAGGTTTGTACAAACCCCTACATGGCAACTGATAAGATTTGGGTAGAAAGACGAAATAGTTCTAAGAATTGCACTCAGCTGCGCCATGTCTTCAACTACCATCCATTCTATCGACTCATTTAGATGCGCCTTTTAAATATGCAACAAGATGTCGGGACCAGCTGCTAAACTCACTACTTCTATCCCTCCGACCAAGAGTGATGAAGGGCATGAATGGCCTCAGAGGTTCGATCTGTGAATTATTTAGGTGGCAAGGGTGGGAGCAGACAGCACCTTCACTCCAGGCGAAACAATGGGAGAGTTTCAATGAGGAAAGTATAGGGAAAGAATAACGGAAAAGGCACGAAATCACTCTGGAGAGTTCAGCAGAAGAACACAGCAATTAGCCAATCTTTTTGCATAGAATGCTTGAACTCAGAGAGAGTAGGAGGGAGCATTCTGACTGAGCTTGGCCCTCGAATACCCGAGTCAAATAGAAATCACCAAAAGCAATAGAATTTGCTGAGAAAAGGCGTGGGACTTACTTGAGCAGCACAACATGCCGAGCAGTTGGTGTGCTATAGACGGCATATCTTGAAGCCAAACATAGATGTTATTCGGGCAGCCGTCGATTGCAAGTCGATTGTCGAGTGGACGGCGGCCGTCAGCAGGGGGAACAGTAAAGGGGCAGGAGGGAAACGAGGAGAAGGCTATTCACGCACTGTTGTCAGCAACCGAGGTTGACGACAGCGTCACTAGCTACGGCTACTGCGTGCTCGTTCGTCCGTGTTCACTGTGGCGTGGAAAGATTTGACGAGAGGAAGCCGTTGGGGCGCGAACAAGCGTCGACAATCGTTTGACACCAGTGGCTATTACTTGGTCATGCCCAGAACCTCAAAACTCCTCCCAAATGGCGTGTCGCTTGTCAGCCATTACCCGACTTATTCCGCCAATAAATGCACTTCTCCTTGCGTTATGAGCATTTATGTGGTTATAATGCCTGCTACTTTTTGCATATAATCGGAAGATCTGAGAGAATTTCCTTGTTTTCAATAAATGAGCAACATTTTTACAGAACCCCGACGAAGGTAATGTGTAGCTACAAGTTCCTGTCAATAGAAGATGGCTTGATTGAACTGCTACGCTTTGATGAAATAAGGTTACCCTGTCAATAGTGTAGTGAAATGATAGAGGTTTAAAGTCACGGGTTGCGATTAGGTGCCACGAGGTAGTCCTTATTAGAGCAAGAAAGAGGGGTTAGGAATGACAACACTGCGTCGATTCAAAAGTGCACGGCCAGGGCGCTGAGGTCTTGCCTTGTACGCTGCCAGCGCTCAGCTCTATCAATCGCGGCATACGTCGCATTTGCTCTCTCTCTCGCATACGCGTGCTCTCTCACGTTACCCTCTTCTCCCAGCGCTGTGTCTCTCCTTCATACCACAGCCGGTCACAAGAGGAATTCCAGTGTATATTATGGTGCTTTTGACTCTTCTTCCCACTAACGTTCCTACTCGCTCCCAACCTGTGCCTTTGAAAGAGCGACTGTTTCTTTCAATTGGATTATAACTTTCAAAGA